CCCTCATAGGACTTAATGGTCCAGTGTGTTAGATTTAGGTGAGAGGGAACTATTGGCAGAAATTTAATAGAATAATTCTCATGATGTTTTCAGTAGTTTGTTTAATCTAAATTGTATGAATTGTAGTTTTCTTTAGCCCAGAAAAGGTCCTTTATATTCAAATACTTTATATTTACATTGAGGGGACCCTCTCTACAGAGGCCGCCATGTTTTTTACATTAGTCCTGACTGGACAAACTAAACACCTTTTGAATTTTTATGACAACTGAAGCTACCACAGGTTCTTTTTCATGTTTGGAAGGAGAGGATGAGGTGAGGGGTGAAGACTTTAGTGTTATGTCCAATAACTAACTACAATAACCTCCTCCTCCTCCTTCTCGCTGCTGTCTTTATGTACAAAAGTGAAACTTTCCATCTCCAGAAATCACAGCAGCATTTCCTTTTTCTAAACATTTCAACCAGAAATGTCAGAGCAGGAAGCAATTTGCTCAGAGGACTGAGATGAAAAACAAGGGAGTGACTGCACCAGGGTCAAGCCTGATGACTGTTGGCACACAGTCTGGCCTGTGAGACTTTATCTTAAAAACCAGGTTAAGCTCTTTTGTATGACTGTCAGTCATACACAGTATGATCTTCTGTCAGGAATCTCTTTGTAATAACTTGAAGCTGGGACAGTTCTCCCACGCACACACTAATAAATCTCTGTCTGGGAATAAGACTAATATGTGGCCCATATTTAACCTGTTCACTGCAAACAAATGGTCAGACCTGCACATGGGTCCTCAACCTTCAGTGTGTTTACTCACAACTGGATGTGAAAAAAGCTTTCAACCTTGTCAGTAAAATTTCACTTCTGGGTGAGGACAGGACTCTGTATTAGATCACCTCGGGAGTAACAAGACACAAATAGTTTCAAAAGTAAATTTTTCCAAAATCCTTTTACATTTGCACTTTATATACAGTCCCTTTCCATTCGTCTTTCTTGACGCTGTCACATCATATTTCTTTGCTCAAACTCCCTTCTAAAAAGGAAAGAGGCAGGATGTCTGGGATTTTCCTGCTGAACTGCTGTGAAAGCATTGAGGAAAGGTAAAACCTCAGACTACTTAAGAGCTTATAGTCTGCTCACGCTAATTTCAGTCATACACTGTAATAGCAGCCAGTCTCCACCTACTGTACAAAAATGCAACATCAGTAGATTTGGTAAAGTTCCCTATACTCTATAGTATATAACATAGTATATTGTATAGTGACCCTACATTCTAATCTTTCACAAATCGACGGCAGCCTTTCCCAGCTTTGTGCACTCACTTTCCCTTTGTGTTGGAAAGCAACGTGGTCTCACATACAGTGTAAACATACAATATACAATATATTGTGCGTCTCTGTGGCCTTTATATCAGGTACACCAACATCTGAGTCCTAATGGAGAACATTCATCACATTTCCTGACTTGATTGTTTTTTTCACCGCTGTTGCCCTGTGGTCTTAACAAAAGTCAATTTCCCTGTTATGGACTAATGTGCATTGCACAGGAACGAGGTGCTGAGTAAAACCTGATCATGAGTAAAAGAGATTTCTCTCGGTTTGCTTTTCATTCTCTGCTCCAAAATGAAGAAGCATTTTTTGTATTTTTTCAGAAGAGCACATGCTGTATCTTCGCCAAGGCCCAATTATGAAACCACATTTAAATGTACCCGATCTGGATTATTTTTATTTGGATCTGTAACAAATTATACACACTGATAAATATCAGTCAGTCTGATTTTCTTCTTTCATCAAGATCCATCAATTATTCTCTGAGATGATGAAAAATGCCATGTCTCCCAGCCTTTAAGAAAGTGAAAAAATAATTGGGATCTGTCCCCTGATCCGAATGTGCACCCAAATTTAATGGGTTCTTCTCTGACATGTCTCACATCCTTCCACTAAGTCCCGTGGTAATCAGTCTAATAGTTTTTGCTTAATCGTGCAAACAAACAAACAAACAAACAAATGTATATGAAAACCTTGGTAATAGCAACAACAATAACACAAATCAGTATATTAAAGGTAGACATTTAAACAGTAGATTGTTTTAAATAACATATATTCCTGTTAGATTTCAGCACTTGGCCTCTTTTCCATCATTAAAATATTCTAAAAAAAGTATTGCATTGGAAATGAATGTATACATTTTTCCAGAAATACT